AGGCCCTGTACACACTAGGCGTTTTTCAACGCGCGTTTAACGCCGAGCTAACGCGCGTTAGCTCGGCGTTCGACGAGCGTTAGTTCGGCGTTTAGCACTGGCTCAGTTTGGAAATGGACGAGAAAGTAATTGATTGTGTGTGCTCCTCCATCGTCGCTATAAGGCAGCACATATATCTCAAAGCGCCCATAAAGTGCCCGCAAAACGCGCGTTTTAACAAAAATCTATAAACGCGCGTTAAACGCGCGTTTAACGAGCGCTTGGCGTTTGAGTGTGTACGGCTACATAGAACTCTTGGTTCTTTAAAACGCGCGTTAAACGCACGTTGAAAAACGCCTAGTGTGTACAGGGCCTTATTCAAATAATAACATAATTGAAATTCGAAAAGTGGAAATAGTTTATTACCAAACGTGGTTAATTTTGAAGAAATGCGAATAGTTTTTACATTAGTAACCAGATATTAATAACTATGTTACTTACATTTATATTCTAATAGACCTTATAAACCTATATATTAATATTTTAATACAACTTGAGAAATAAATTCTAATCAGTAAATCAAACAAGTCATTCCTTGCGGTGAGTTCATATTATTTATTATCCCAGTAAGGAGCGTCTGATGTATTCTCAATGGCAACAAGCAAATATTACTATCACATTGTGATAATGCCACGCTTAAATAGTTTTATATTATTTGATTGAGATCCAGAACCTATATTTATAATATAGGTTCTGGATCTCAAATTATTAGTGTTTTGCCCCTGTATATTGTAAGTTTTTCATGGATAAAGTTCTACTGATCATTTATGTAACTTCGTTGTGGGGAAATTATTTGAATTGAAATCACGTTACTTCTGTTCTATCCGGGAAGTTAGTGCATAGTTAATCGGTTCATACCGATCCTAAGTTTTCCGAATCTTGTCATGACTTTTATCTGCTAACACCTTTTTCGAGATTGAGAGGACGGACATGTGACTGGCAATTATTAGGTCAATAATTTTTTCAAATTGCAGCTTAGTTCATTTACTCTATATATTAATTAATATTAATAAAAAGATATTAATAACCCTTAGTCGGAAAACAAACAAGCAGTGCTTTCAATCCATTAATAGTACACTTGTAAGAACTTGCAACGTTGGCACATGCAACGTGGGCACATTTTATAAATCTATTTTGATCAAATTCTACAGCATCACTAGATTGATGCTCTCCGTAAATGTGAAGCAGACTTACTTGATTCTAAGAAACTTTTCTTTTCCATTCCGAAGTCGAGAACAACAACAGGAAGAACGAAAAAATATGTTTGAATATGTCAGAAGATAATTGAGAGCTGAAGAGAGATTCCAATTTGATAAAACCTTGCGTGCGTTTCGGTTATTATCTTTGTGTACTCCTTTGGCATTGAGGAAAACCCCTAGGCTTTTTTTGACTGTTAAAGAAAGATAGTGTCAAGAAGCTGCTTCAGCAAAGTTTAATTTTCTGGTACGAATTTAAAATTAATTTCTGGTGAATTATCATATTGAGCAATGTTATATATAAATCCTTACTTGCTTGACCACTCGATGGCTATGTCAAAAAAAGTAATTTTACATTACATAGGAAAATTATCAATCTCTGCTTGCACTATTGGCTCAAAGCTTCTCCAAATTGTTATAAGTATAAGAAAAACTTTCGAACGAGATCACCATCCCTATGGTATAATATTACTTTACAATGTAGCTGTGTATTTACTCATTTTTTGGTGATTCAGAGTACCCAAAATTTTACTTTTTACTTTTGAATGTGTAACTATTAATATGCAGCATTTCTTATTTGAATCCACGCTGATTGGTGGTCTTCAAAGCTATCTGATATGGATTGTAGACTTTTATTTCCAACACAATATTCTGTGATAATTGCGGTGATTGTGGTGATTTTATAAATAGCCGTTTTGTTTTTACGTAAAAATAGTAAAGCGACTCTTAAAACGATGCAATCAGCTATTGATAGCCTTGAAGTTTAAGCTAAAATCGCCAATATTTTATATTTCTAAAAATAGCAAAAGTTTTCACATAAGATTCGCACAATATTCTGAATCTTTCTCTTGCTGCTACAACCTTTCATATGACATGGCGATTCATTTGACTATAGTTTCTGTGCTACCCATTTGAAATGTGCATTCGATTATCCAGCGGCACAGTTTTAATATTGTTACATTTCGATCTTATTTTTATATTTTATACAAATATTCTACTTTTAAGCAGAAACTTTTTTCTGCTTAAAAGTACCCAGCAAAAATAAACAAATAACCAGGGCTGTGGAGTCGGAGTCGGAGTCGGAGTCGTGGAGTTTTGGTGTTTTAGCCGGAGTCGGTGTCGGAGTCGGAGTCGGATGGTTAGGAAAAGTCGCAGTCGGAGTCGTGGAGTTTTGGTGTTTTAGTCGGAGTCGGATTGGTAAGGAAAAGTCGGAGTCGGAGTTAAAGTTGGAGTCGGTAGATTTTTACGCGACTCCACAGCCTTGCAAATAACGCAACCAACACCTTATTGTTTGCTGAGGGAGTTTTATTAAAAGCGAACGTTGATAGAATAGTTAGGAAACTGGAGGGAACCAAGCTTGCGAAGGTTTTACCTTTTATCCGGAAATGCCGTAACCCCAGACCTGGGATTCCTAGACTATTCGTCTTCGCTAAAACGAATAAAGAGTGCAAGGAAATAAGGCCAATAGTGGAAAAGCATAAAGCACCTACATTTTTCTTAGAAAAAAAATTGCAAGAATATATCTCCTCCCTAATGGAAAGTAGTAATTTGGTTGCAAAAGATCCTGCAATGGTGGTTAAAGAGCTACAAGACATTACTTTGATGGATGAAGAAGTGGGAACTCTGTTGGATTATGAGAGTTTGTACCCCTCCATTAAGATTATTTTTTGTTTGGAAACTCTATTGGAGTTCTTGTTTAGAGAAAACCCGACATTAAAGCATCACAAAAACGATGTTATGAAAATGGCAAATCTTATATGTTGCGAATCTTTTTTTCACATTCGAATGCCAAACTTATAAACAAAATAGGGGAGTTCCGATGGGAAGCCCAATTTCGGGGCTTCTATGCGACCTTGTGGTTAGAAAATTGGAAGAAAAAGTATTGCGAAGCTTTGAAAGAGAAATCGTTTTCTACAAGAGATATGTGGATGATTTATTTATAATATGGAGGAATAATCGAGAAATTACTAGCTTCATAGATAGAATCAACGATAACGAGGAAGGCCTCAGCCTGAAGCTAGAGCAGAAAAGTTCCATGATGGTACATTTCTTAGATATTAATATCATCTTTAGCAAAGGGCATGTATCCACCGGCGTGTACATAAAACCAACACATAGCCCACTATACATCCCTGCTAAGTCCAATGACCCCTATCGTTACAAAATGGCAGCATTTCGTGCCTTGGTTAGAAGGGCTTTTCTATACTGCGACAACATTATAGACCGGGTTACTGAGATCGAAAGGATCATACAGTTAGCAGAAGCCTTAGGATATAAGAGAAATATTATAACGGGTATTGTTAAAAAATTTGAGAAGAATAATGATAAAGTCTCCAGACAAGGTCCATCTAAGTACACAAAATTTACATTCAACAAATATTTAGGAGGAATTATGAAGGAAATTGCAAGCGTTAAAGATTCAACGGTGATTTTGAAAAGAGCTCCCAATTTATATAAAATTCTTAGAAACGATAAAGGGGTTATTAAAAAAGAAGATAAGGCAGGTGTTTACAAGATTCCCTACGAGAACCAGCTATTAGGAATAAAAAAAGATTACGTAGGAGTTACTACCAGAAACCTCGGGGTAAGGATTAGGGAACACAAGTATGATGCTAGAAAAGGGTCTAATACGACAATATTGGCCCAGATGGCGCAGGCCCAAGGATCCCTGGTTGGATGGGAGGAAGCGGAAGTCGTGAGACAAGTACACTCACCAACTTTGGCGAGGACGGCCGAAAAAATGGAGATATACAGGAGCAAACTTAAAGACGGATGCATTAATGCTAGGGATGCGGAAGGTCTTCCCTCGGCTTGGAAATTTGCCGTTAAAAAGCTTACAAGTAGCGCATCAACTGAAATATGATATTTATTTGATTTAAAGGAAACTTAGTAGCTTCTATTTAGCTAAGATAGATCGTATTAATATTTAGTCTTTGTAGTATATTATTTATTATTTGGTATCGTTTACAATTTATTTTTTATTCTTATTAATTGATATGTTATCAGTTTATTGATATTTTTGAATTTTTGAACTTATTGTTCCATTTATGATGTATTCCATTTTCGTATATTCTAGCCTGATGATGATCCGTTAATTGGATCGGAAACGTTCGTTTTTAATAAAACTCCCTCAGCAAACAATAAGGTGTAGGTTGCGTTATTTGTTTATATCATTGTAGTATTATTCACAGCATGAAATCTGTATTAGTCTAATATAGTAGAGGAAAAGGTGTTATTTTGGAACCCACAGACATTATGGAACCCCTCCATTTCAGAATGATAGTAGATGCGAACTCTAGCAAATTTTTGCTGAACTGCACTAGGCAGACATCCATAGCAATGGCAGAACGCCTCCCACTTTAGTTGTTCAGTTGCACTCAATGAAAAAGAAAGTTTTTGTTTTTTGTAATTTCAAACTTTAGAATGGTAAGTGAATTTTATTACTTCTGAAATGTACATGATGTAGCGTGTGTCGGGTTTTAGAGGCCTAGGAGTACATGTTAGTCTGTCTGATCATCACGTTTTTAAGCGGTTTTATCCACCTTCCCACTGATAACTAAATGTAAAAAGATGAGGCTTAAAATAGACTATTTGAATACTATTGTTCGGACATGTAACAATAAAATTTAGGTCTTTTTGAAACATGCAATCATTGATTTTTTTCGATCTTATGCATTTTTGTAATGAGCTAGATGTCCTCCCTCGGGCTTGGGCTGTCAAAAATTGGATTATGGGCGTTTAGGGCAGGACACTGCCACGAGTTGTGTGTTGTCAGACACACCTCCATTTTAGACAAAAAACAACAAAAAAGCAGATAGTCAAGACTCAAGGGTATGAGTCACTCCAAAGACCAAAACTGGGCATTTCAGGAAGATGAATGCAAAGTCAATTAAACTAATTTAAGAATAAAAGAAAAAAATTCTTATGGAAAAACGAAGTATAACATTTGAACAAATAGTAAGTACAAAATCTGTTTTAGGGAGTTCGCATATTGCTATTTGTAAAACAACGGTAACTAGCGGGAGGATATCCGAACTTCGCGAGTCACAACATACCATGAAAATAGTTGTCTTCTCTTCTACGAGTTGTTTTCCTTTCCGGATACCTTTCTTCTTTTTCCTCTCTTTTTTCTGATTTCTCTTCTTTCTCTCTTCTTTTCCACACTTTCTCTTTCTCATTCTAATTTACTTTCTCTCCCTTTCTTTCTCACCTTTTTGTTTTATTTTACCTTCACTCAGTCACTCACCAAGTCTCTGATTTTTGTCGTTCCTTTTATTTTTTTCTTTGTTTTGGCCAATCATGATTTTGTTCCAGAGGAAGTTAAGGTAATTTGCGATTAGCACGATTGGTCATTCTTTAAGACTTCTTCTCTCTTGTCTAATAAGAATTATATACATCCACGTGACATGTCTACAGTACAAAATGTCAATTAACACTATTGAAAAGGAGGGAGACGACAGTCATCCCCTTCATCTTGTTCTTGGAGTGTTGGGAGATTTATAACAATTAATGAATAAGTTTTTTATTCTAATTGTTTCTCTTAATTAAATTTAACCGGTGTTACTAAAACATTAGAAAGGGTGTCCGTAAAATCGGAAAAATAGGTGAAATTCCTTTACAACGTTAATTAAGAAACATAAACAATCCCGATGTCGTGTCGCATTCGCACACAGATCTTCGAGATATGGGTGCAAAGGGCGTATTATCTGGTAGTTAGCAATTGTTCATTGTACAACCACACAAAACAAAACAAAGGGATATAAAATACATACATAGTTTAAATACAATAAATTAATTAACATTAAAATTACACTGTTAATAATAATTAAACAATATATATATATGTTACTGTGAAAGACCAATATTTGTGAATGTCGACACTCGCCGGTGAATGTCGACATTCACAACTGTGTGAATGTTGGCATTCACCACAAACAACTATGTGAATGTTAACATTCCCCCCATTTCGGTCATTCACAGTTTTTATATATATCAATATATATAAAAACAAGTATATAATAATAACCAAACTTTTGGAAAAATGGTCGGTACCACACCTCTATATCATTAATTTTTAATCTAGTGGTTAGTGGCCACCAATCAATCACTCGAGTTATCTGAAGATCAAAAGTTATTAGTGGTTGTATGGGCATTACTATACAAGAATATATACCAACGATTGAAATATCTTTCTACTGTATTTTACAGTAGACAACGGCTTTTTAATTTTAAGTTTTCTCAAGGATATCACAATGAAATTAAAAGAACCTAATAAGCAGCGTCATAGTGAAAACAAACTGATTACGGACTGTTAAAAAACGTAAAAGCATTCATTGCAAAACTCAAACTTTATGAAAGTCAGTTAAAATCAAACACTACAGTCCACTTTCCATTATAACATAAATTTAATGGTGTCAAAAATAATTTTTTTTTTAATATGCACAAGGCATTTCTAATTTACTTAGAGAATTTCGGGAGAAACTTTCTATTTAAAGAATTATGAGAATATTTAGGAAATATTCAGGAAATTTAATATTTCCTTATGTCCATTTGAGATTGTTGTGAAATCAGCTCCAACAAATTTGAAGATGGAGTTAATAGATCTCCAGTCATTTCTGAATTGAAATATATGTTTGAGGCTTATGACAAAATTCAGTTTTATAAAAAAAATACGTCTGTAATGAAAAATCCCTAACCTAAAAAAACTGGCGATTAGCATTACAGCTGCAATAGGAACCACCTAACTTTGTGAATCTTCTTCGTCAAAAGTGAAGATTGTTCAATTTAAAAGTTATAGATTAACCGACTAAAATTTAAAAAACCAACTACGTTCTACAACGTCGAAAATAGTTGTTGATATTTAAACAGTAAGTTTCACATCAAAATACATACAAAATATTGTAATTGTAAATGTTTTGTTGGAAACAAATATGTTCGGTCCACAGTGTATTTTTATTTTTTGCGTTGGCCCAGTAAACAATTTAGGTTCGACACCACTGATGTAGACAAGCAGAAATAGTTAGAAACGCTTGTACATCTCGAACATTTTATTAAGGAAGCTGCTTTCACTCAAACATTTCATGCCAATGAATGTGAACGAATGTGAAAGATTGCGACCGGAAGTGCCGCCGTTGGGTTCCATAAGTAAAATTTTGATTATATAATCTAAAGTCCTGTATTATTTCCCTCCCAGGTTTGAGTCAAAATATAAAATTTGTATAGCTTTTAATTTATATTATTACCATACCATAAATTAAATAAATAGGCAAAAAATTCTATACAAATGTACAGTACATATAATTCAAAATATATAACATTTTATACCTTCAAGTTATTGCTTCTGTTTTCGGCAATCCAGCAAAACTTTCGACTGCAATATGGCTTGTGGCAACCTGAAATGCAATGCTTGATACAAGTCTCATGTTTACATAAAAATATTTTAATTTGTTCTAAATCAAAATATAGAAAGAATTAATTTATAGAAAACTTTTCCATACAAATTTTATTTCCCTTCCAGGTTTGAGTCAAAAAATAAAATTTGTATAGCTTTTAATTTATATTATTACTATACCATAAATTAAATAAATAGGCAAAAAATTCTATACAAATGTACAGTACATATAATTCAAAATATATAACATTTTATACCTTCAAGTTATTGCTTCTGTTTTCGGCAATCCAGCAAAACTTTCGACTGCAATATGGCTTGTGGCAACCTGAAATGCAATGCTTGATACAAGTCTCATGTTTACATAAAAATATTTTAATTTGTTCTAAATCAAAATATAGAAAGAATTAATTTATAGAAAACTTTTCCATACAGATTTTGTTTACTATAAAATTTATTATTCTCACTAAAAGCGGATTGTAAACTTTCATAAATTTTCATTTGCATGTAAGTCTTATACGTGACCAATTTCGACGATATGCACAGTAACGTTTAAAAATTTGAAAAGAAATCTGTAAATGCAAAATACAGTGAATTAAATCGTCTAGATGATTTTCTATTCGGATACTGTTTACTCAAACTTTATTTTCTTTCTTCAAATTACTGAAAGATGTGGTTTTAAAATTTTCAATCAGCTTCTTTATCATGCAAACCGCATCCGTAACTACTTGAAATATTACGCGAAACACAAAAGTTAAAAATGAAATTGTTTATATCCCTTGCAATTCAATAATGTCAGTGAATTAAATTACACAAATGATTAAGAAACAGTTTACTGAAAATTGTTTTCCGTCAATTTATTGTTCAGATTTAATATTAAATATTAATTAGTTCGCAAAAATGGTAAAACAGTTATGATTTATATTTTTACAAGTAAATTAATGTTGATAAAAAGTTGCGTCGAAAAAACATTTTTTCTAAATTGACAAAAATTCAAGAAGATTTTTAAAAAAGATAAAACAAAAAATATGTCTCATTACATAGCAGACAATATCTTGTACAGTACATTAGCATCTTCAGTGAAAAGATGCAGTTTCAGTTTCCAGTATAGATGTTATCATTTTTTTAAAGTGTAAAAGTCATGATTTTACACTTGCAAATTCATCTGTGCAAAACACTCATTCACAGAAATCATTTGCTTTCTGAAGAAAGATTATATTACAGTAGAGCATCGATTATCCGACACAATTGGGGACTCAGGTTGGTCGGATAACTGAAAAAATCGGATAACCGAAAAGAAGGAAAAAATACATTATTAGTACAGTATATTAGGATATTAGTATATCCCATGTAATTAGTTTATTAGTGTATCGCTATTAACCAACTTTGCGTTGAATTTTCATCGATGGTTAGCCTAACAAATTTTTTAAAAATAGTAATCGGCACTACTGTATCGTTAAAAATTATTTTTAAAT